GCCTAGAGGGGGCGGCGACGGGGCCGCAAAGGACGGCGACGGGGCCGTAAGGGGTGGCGACGGGGCCGCTAAGGGTGGCGCGAGGGGCCGTGAGAGGCGACGTGAGGGCGGCCAACGGGGCGCGCCTCGGGCAGGGGCGACTCGCGCTCCGGTCAGGAAAAAAAATTTCAGTGGTGGGCCCTGAGAAGCGTTCCCACTAGGGAGCCTGCTCTATACCATGTGAAGAAATGAGGAAGGAATGAATGAACTAGCAAGCAGGTGGGTACAAGTAGGAAAACCTAAAAGTGTTGTACCCCATATTGTCTACCCCACTACAGCCTACACAGACTATAGCATATGAGTTTGACAAGGACGTCACATTTGACGAGTCGGTACCCTTTTACCGTCTCTTCCCCTCCCGCACTGCCCCGCTCCCCCCCCCGCCGCTCTTCCTCACCCCAGGTGTCCCGTAGGTAGACCCCCTCCCTTCCCAGGGTGCTGCTCCCTCGGGTGTTTCCCAGGTAGACCCGGTCGAGCCTGTCGAGGTAGCTGTTGACTCTGGTCCTGCGCGAGGTGCTGAGCGTGCTGAGCCTGGTGGTGCTTGAGGACGTCCTTGAGGACAGGCAGAAGGACCTTGAGTGTCTTGCAGCCGCTGCGCCTCATCTCGTTTCCATGCTGATTGCCCCTGAGGGAGACCCGGATGCTCCAGACATCCCGACCCCGCGCTCTTACGCTGAGGCGATCGCGGGTGAGTACTCCTCTCAGTGGCAGTCAGCCATGGACGCAGAGATGGCATCCTGGAAGTCCACTGGCACTTACGTCGACGAGGTTCCCCCTCCTGGGGCGAATATCGTCAGTGGCATGTGGATTTTCAGGGTGAAGCGGCCGCCGGGTTCTCCGCCTGTCTTCAAGGCTCGTTACGTTGCTCGAGGCTTCAGTCAGCGAGAGGGAGTAGACTTCTTTCAGACCTTCTCGCCCACCACGAAGATGACCACTCTTCGGGTGCTACTGCACGTTGCTGCTCAGCGTGACTACGAGCTTCACTAGCTTTCTTGCAGGGCAGCCTGCACGAGGAGATCTGGCTGCGCCGCCCTCCTGGCTTCACTGGGTCGTTTCCTCCTGGTACCCAGTGGAGCCTCCGGCGGCCGGTCTACGGTCTCCGCCAGGCGCCACGTGAGTGGCACGACACACTGAGGACTACTCTTGCGGCACTTGGGTTCGCGCCCTCTACTGCTGACTCGTCGCTGTTTCTGCGCACCGACACTTCGCTGCCGCCGTTCTACATCCTCGTGTACGTCGACGACTTGGTCTTTGCCACTGCTGACACTGAGGCTCTCGCCCACGTGAAGTCGGAGCTGCAGAAGAGACACACGTGCACAGACCTGGGTGAACAGCGCAGCTAACTTGGCTTGCAGATCACCCGGGACAGAGCACGCCGCACCATCACACTGACTCAGTCACACATTGTGCAGCAGGTCCTTCAGCGCTTCGGCTTCACCTGGTCCTCAGCACAGGCCACTCCTCTGGCTATAGGTCACTCGCTCTAAGCTCTGCCTTCGGATGAGTCCGTAGAGCCGAGTGGTCCTTACCCAGAGCTAGTTGGTTGCCTCATGTACCTGATGACTTGCACTCGTCCTGACCTAGCATACCCTCTTGGCCTTCTGGCCCGCTATGTGGCTCCTGGCAGGCACCGAAAGGTGCACTAGGATGCTGCAAAGAGGGTATTGCGCTACTTGTGCAGTACATCGGGCATGGGGCTCGTGCTTGGAGGAGGGAGCTCAGTTGTTCTTACTGGGCACTCTGACGCTTCTTGGGTTGACGACCAGGCTACTCAGCGGTCGTCACAGGGTTACACCTTCAGCCTTGGCTCTGGTTCAGTTTCTTGGCGTTCTACTCGCTCGTCTTCAGTTCTCAGCTCCAGTTGTGAGGCTGAGATCTACGCCACAGCCATGGCTGCACAGGAGCTAAGCTGGCTGACCTACCTACTGACCGACTTGGGAGAGCGGCCTAGTTCTCCTCCAGTGCTGTACGTCGACAACAAGGCTGCCATTGCCTTGTGTGAGGAGCACAGACTGGAGCACAGAACGAAGCACATCGCTCTCCGTTACTTCCTGGCTCGAGAGCTGCAGCAGCGCGGTCAGCTTCGTCTGCGTTACGTGGCCACTCAGGCCAACACCGCTGATATATTCACCAAGGCACTTCAGCCTGGTGATCATCAGCGCTTCTGCACCATGCTGGGGCTGGTGCCCACTTTTCCTCACTTGCTGTAGGCTTTGCCTGTACTGTGATCTCTATATATATATACCTGCCTGTTTGCTTTGCTAGGTTGAGATCACCTTGCTGTTTGTGTTGCATATATGCCTTTGCATGTGAACTGGCCCTGTGGCCCTTTGCTTGTGCTCAGAGTGTGTGGTGACGTTGTGATCCACCCTGAGCTTGTTTGCCTTTCTTGACTGGTCTTGTGACCCCTTGCTCTCCCCCACTTTGCCTATGGGGGTGTGTCAAACATTATATATGTGTTATTGCTGTGTAGGTTACAGTGGGTTAGCCTTTAGGGGGTACACAACTCTAGGGTTTCATACTTGTACTCCAATGTTTCATAGTCCAATCACTTCTTGTTTCTGACATTCTCTTGATCAAACATCCATTTACTATATTGTTACGATGCTGGACCGAGTTGGTGCCATTCGTAGCATCTGGTAGGAAGGTATGGTGTTTCAAACAACCAAGCAGCGAAAACTGTGCAAGGATAGGCATGTATGACACGCGGTGCTATCTCGGCATCGGTTTGTCATTTTTAACAAGGTTTCTCTTGAGCAAACACTCATTTACTTTGTTGTATAGATGCTGGACCGATTTGGTGCCATTCGCAGCATCTGGTATGAAGATGTGGTGTTTCAAACAACTTAGTAGCGAAAACTGTGCAAGGATAGGCCTGTGCAACACACGGTGCAGTCTCGATATCGGTTTGTCATGTTTAACAAGGTCTCTCTCGATCAAACATTTATTTACTATATTATAAGGACGCTGGACCAATTTGGTGTCATTTGCGGCATCTGGTATCAAAATATTGTGTTTCAAACAACTGAGCAGCGAAAACTGTGCAAGGATAGGCGTGTGCGACATGCGGTGCCATCTCGACACCAGTTTGCCATTTTTTACAAGGTTTATTTTGATCAAACACTCATGTACTGTATTGTAAGCATGCTGGACCAAATTGGTGCCATTTGCAGCATTTGGTAGGAAGATATGGTGTTTCGAACATATAAGCAACGAAAACTGTGCAAGGATGGACCTGTGCGACACGCGGTGCCATCTCGACATCGGTTTGTCATATTAAAGAAGGTTTCAATTGATCAAACATTCTATTACTTTATTGTAAGGACGCAGGACCAACTTGGTACCATTCGCAGCATCTGGTAGGAAGATATGGTGTTTCGAATAACTGAGGAGTGAAACCTATGCAAGGATAGACATGTTCGACACGTGGTGCCCTCTCGACATCCGCTTGTCATTTTAAACAAGGTTTTTCTTGATCAAACATTCATTTACTATATTATAAGGACGTTGAACCGAGTTTGTGCCATTCGCGGCATCTGGTTGAGAGATATGGTCATTCCAACAATCTGATAGAGAAAACTGTGCAATGATAGGCCTGTGCAACACGCCGTGCACTATCAACGTCCATTTGTAATTTTGAACAAGTAATTTTCTTGCTCATTCAAGCATTTACTGTCAGAATCCCAACCACTAGACCATTGGGATAAAAGGGCTTGTTAAGTAGCGGGTCAGTGCGCCCATAACCCCCCAGGCCAACATGCCTGTAACCCTTCCCTAGGATCAATCGGGGATCACCAGTGGACCTCTGACACCCCCCCGCACTGGGATGCCCGAAGTGCACACACTGGGATTCGAACCCGAGACCTTCGCTCTGATACCATGTCAGAATCCCAACCACTAGACCATTGGGATAAAAGGGCTTGTTAAGTAGCGGGTCAGTGCGCCCATAACCCCCCAGGCCAACATGCCTGTAACCCTTTCCTAGGATCAATCGGGGATCACCAGTGGACCTCTGACATTTACTACATTGCAAGGATGCTGGACGAAATCTGGTGCCATTCTACGCATCTTGTATCAATATATGATATTTCTAAAAATTTACCAGGGAAAATATCGCTAATATGAGCAACATGAAGCACGCCAATTTGCACTACATCCCAAGATATTACTAGAATTTTTCAGTGGTGAGGTCACAATACTTCGATGCATCTATTCGGAAGAAATGAATGAATGAAAAAATATATGTAAAATTATGCAAGCGATTATTTTAAGACTCCATTTATTATATTCGATAAAGACTTGATTCAAAATTTGAGAATAAAGCACAAATTCCTATTCAATTATCAATTTGCTTTTGTAATATTACATGACTACATAATAGTTTTCAAAGCAATAAGGAATTGCATTGTTTTTCACAGTACTGTTTCAATGGTCCCTATACAGCTATCGAAATTGGATCTAAAACAAATGCGAACCAGCTACTGTAGTCAAAGCGAGAGGCGAAATCTTACCCAACCGTAACTTTGAACCGACAGCCAATCACGGGTGCGAAGCTTTTGGCGCACAAACAAACCAGGTAACTTTGGGCAACTTTCCCGAAGCGCCCATCGCCAAACATACTCTCTCGTAACCGAACTGTAAGTCCTACCCCGGTAACCTTTCGGAAACCTAAAATGTTCATGCCCGACCAGCCACGCCTTTTTTGGGATGTGCTCTGAATTGCGCTGAGCGCGCCACGTGTAAACAGAAGTGTTTTGAGACGTCTCAAAACACTTCTGTTTACTCGGGGGGTTGGAGAGCAGGGGAAAGTACAGAACAGCCTGTTTTGAATTGCGCTGAGCGCGCCTGCTGAACCTGATGCTGCAGCAGCTTTTAGGTACAAGCTACGCGTACATCGTATATCTCGTGATGGTATCAGCAGTAGTATAATACTAACTCAGTAGTAACAGTTACTGCTCGGGTTAAGAACCCGTGCTTGATAGTAGCTTCCGCACCTGCTGTAGTGATAGGCGCTGAGGGGGCGCCATGGAGGGCACCGAGTCAGCCACTAACGCGTACGCCATTTCCACCGCGCTCACTGCCGTGATGGCCCATGATGCCTCTGGGGGGTGAAAGGGGGAAGGCGAGGGGAGGGGGGTGAGTTGAGGGACAAGAAATTACATATACTTTTCAGATTAGCACCGAAAATAAGCATTGCTCTGATCTCCTCACTTCAAAGGATCATCCCCCTCTCCCTCCCCCTCTCCCTCCCCCTCTCCCTCTCCCTCCCCCTCTCCCTCCCCCTCTCCCTCCCCCTCTCCCTACCCCTCTCCCTTCCCCCGGGTCTCTTCAGCCAGCACATGCGCGCCAGCCTGTGACTGCGCGAGCAGGTGTGTCCGCGTCTAATCCATCTCGCGCTAACTTCACGTGGAGCCTTTCCCTCCCAAGAAACTCTCGGAAAACCAGCCTCGCGGCCGCCGCGGCGGCGGCGCACTCACTACATCTGCCTTCGGTGCGCAACGGCGCGAGAATGGGCTGGAGGCGGGTGTTCGCGGCCCAGTTTTGATAAGAAAAGATGTTCGAGATGGTGCCACCCAGAAATGTTTGGCCCTCGTACGTACTACGTGCCTATAGGTTGCTAATCAGCCGGAAGAACCGGTTCGCCTTTCAACAACCTGCGCGCAGGAACATGTCTCAAAGATCGGCGGCGCACTCACTGCATCTGCCTTCGGTGCGCAGCGGCGTGAGAACCGGCTGGAGGCGGGTGTCCGCGGCCCAGTTTTGAATGGGGTAGAGGTTCGAGATGGTGCTGATCACCCGGAAGAAGCGGTTCGCGTACTTGGGAGTCACCGAGGCCACCGCGGGATTTGCGCTGCAGTTATAGCTCTGGGCTGGTACCGGCGGGGCCAGACGGGGGGAAGAGACGAGGAAAAAGAGGGGGGGGGGGGGGGGGGGGGAGAGAAAGTGGGGGAGAGGGAGAGTAACGGGAAGGGGAGGGAAGAGGGTCAAGGGCGAGAGGGACGGGATTCTCTGTTTTGATTCTGGTAGCGATGCGGGAGTGGCGCCAGTTGGGGCGAGAGGGAGAAATCGGAAGGCAAGGAAGGTAGGAGGACGCATGACTGACCTGCGACAGGGGCACTGCCGTTCGCGAGCAGCGCATCAAGAAGCACGATCAGCGCGAAGGGGGCTTGTCGGATCACGGTGATCATGCCTGCTTGTCGGGTCGCGAAAAGGGTTTCACTGTTAGTAAGCATTGGCCGGCGGCGACGCGGCTCGGAAGGGAGAAGTTCCCTTCCTGCGCGCAGGGCGGCGAGTTGCAATGTCGGATTCGATGGCGAACCGCAACGGCGTTGCGCCGGGAAGCAAACGCGCTGAATGCGCATGGCGGCTGTGCTCACGGAAGGCTTTGATTTGATCTATGTAATCTCGGGCTCGCGCTCGATAGTTGAAGTTTGACTCTGTAGCCTTCGGAGGAGTCCTTCGAGTCGACTCAAGAGTCTGATATAGAAGAGGAAAATTCTGAAGCGCCTAAAGAATCTGAGGCATCTCAACAATTGAAGCACCTAAATAAGTCTGTCGTGTTCAGAACGCCTATGATCCGCGTCCGGAACACAACCATTCGAAGGCTCCCCGCGCGCTTGCCAAGACGAGCGGGCGGCGAGAGAAGGGAGAGGCTTCCGCTCGTTCGTGGACCGCCTAAAGAGCCCTTGGCTTGCGCAAGCCACAAAGCCGCTCAGCTACATCAGACTTTCGCTCGTGGTCTTCGCGATGTACGACGACTTGCGAGCTACGACGACTGCAAGGAAGCTCCTGCCGGAGACTATCAGCCTGAGATGGCGTTCCTGGGATGAGACTATCTTCGCCCCTACCATAATGCCTTGTCCCGTTCTGCCTGCCACCACCAGCTGAAAGGCGGAACTGAGGAGGGCATGTTGTAGCTCGCGCAAACCCGGTGCATCGCTCCGTGGCACGCGCTGGGGAGCCTCATCGCGTGGCAGTGCGCGCGACTTGGGGAAATCTATCCGTGCCCAGGTGGAGCCTGAAGAATTCAAATGTTGCCTGCGCCTCGGCTCGCAAATCCGCCAGAAGGTGGGCGCAGCTTGCGGCAGATAAGCATTCGTCAGATCAGAGTTACCGGTACTAGGTTTGCATGTAATAGTTCCTTGCACCCCAAAATATAGAAAATCAGGAGGGTTTTAGCAGAGATTTTCACTGCATTCATGGGGCATTTCAGCCAAATTTCTCCCACTCTCACAACAGCCAAGCTTTCGTTCCCTAGGAAATATACGGTGGTTGTGAGAATTCCGTGAGCGACGCTGAAGGTCGGGTGTTGATTGGCTGTATGACACGTCAGGTTGCTGCCTACGCGCTGTGCAGGTTGCCGCGGATGTTCCGCCATTTCGTTCAGTAATGCTTCCTTGCAGCCTGTGCAGGTGTGATCAATATCGAAACCGTGAAAACAAGAACTGACGATACTATGAAAGTGGGTTCAGCTTCTTCATTCTTTTCTTTTTTACCTTTAGCGTTTATTGCTGGATAGGTGAGCTAGAGCACTCCAATGTTGCTAGATTAGCACTATAAAATTTGCAGTACTGTATAATCTTATATTGCGTTAGGTATGTTGATTGCACCTTCATAAGCCAAAGGAGGCACATCACTAGTCATTTGGGGTTACTTGGCCTGGCCTTTCAGGGGTGGCGTGAACAACGTACAGCTCTGAAGGATAAACTGCAGGACCACCCTGTGAAGAAAACGTCACTGACTCCCTTGTCGTTGGTTGAATTGACATGGATAAAATATCATCTTACAATTCTGGCTATCCATGCTGCTGGTGCTGGTGCTGCAGCTGCTGCTGGTGGTGCAGATTCTCCTCCTGATGCTGATGATGCTGAATTTGCTTTCGTCGCCGCCAACGTCAGGCCCAGACAAATGACTTGATACAGAAGGCAGAAGAGTGCAACGATGAAAGCGAGGCACACTATGGCGATGATAAGCGAGGCCCACCAGGATAAGCCACCACAGTGAACGCACACCATGACTCCGCTAAAGCCTGGATATGCTGCAGATGTAGTAGCCCCAGCAGTTGCGGCAGAAGGAGCATCAGGAGCAGCGCAGGTGTTTAAACAGGATATGCACAGCAGGAGCAGGACGAGCCAGACGGATGTCATGCTTCCAGTCGACCCATATGGCGCTGCTGCAACGTGAGAAACTGCTTCATCGCACGTTAGTAAGAGACTATTCATGAGGCTTCATCCCCAACTATTTGAAACGGCGCAAGAAATTATTATATTAAAAAAACTTAAGTGAAAATGGCACAAAAGAGTCCCAGCAAGGAACGCCGGTAAGGAGCGCCGTAAGGAGCGCCGATAAGGAAGAAGTTGGTGCTCTGTGGATCCAAAGATACGCGACAATTGGCCGCCTACAAAAAAATATGAAAAACCATAGTAGGCAAACCCTATTTTTTGGAGCACGCGCTGGTTGTGCGTGGTCCAGGCCGCGGTTCCACGCGACACGAAAGCTGTGGAGCCCAAGTAACTTCCAAAACATCGAACGGTTAGGACATTCATGCTGGCAGATGCGAGCAGTCAGATTGGGATGCTGACGAGGTGTAGCTCCATGCAAGCTTATTAGCTAGCTAAACATGCAACGGAGCGTGAGGTGCGTGCATACATAGAGGTCGCGCGACCTGAGAGTCAACCTTCTAGGGTAGGATTTTAGTTCCACATTGGCAGCATCGCTTCCTGTTTGAGATGTTGCTTTGTGAGTTCTTTTTCATTCGCATATGCATTGCCAAGCTGAAACTGAATATCATTGCTCGTTTCCTTACAAAAACATTTACACAACTCCGTAACCCTTATATGTTTCGTCCTACTGAGATCTACGCTACGTTTCCGCTTCCAACGGATTCACCTGCAGCAACCTGCGCAGACACCGCAAGACTCGACCGTTGGAGCAGCCAATAAACACTCGACATTCAGCGCCACATAAATTATGCTGGTCTCTTGTCTCTTTCACAGGTTTCTTTCCTCCAGCCGCAATATTTTCACAAAAGCTTGCGACGGTCAGCTGAATATGCTGTTCGACAGGGCTCTCTAACGAATGATTCCGCTAGATTCAACTATACGGTACATGAAAATAACATTTCATGTCGAAATTTTGTCTTCCGCTTCTTGCGCTCGTCCTGGCGTCTTGCTAAGCAGAACCAAGTCGCAGGCAACAACTCAACCTTAGTCATCAGTGCCACCATTGTAGGCCGAGAAGGATGTGCATGACGGGAGGGACGGGGAGGGGAGGGGGAGCGGAGGGGAGGGAGAGACGAAAGAGGCATGCATGTTTTGACAAAGAAGCTGGTCCAATTTCGATTTCCCCAAATGAATCTCTTCGGAAGACCATACACGAGTAACACGAGTAGGCCACGAGTGAGCAGGTCCTTTCCTCATCTAGTGGCTCATTTTTGTTTAGATGTCTCAGAAATTGCCTCGTCTAGGTGGTCCAGGACTCTCAGACAATTGAATCGAGGACTAACCAGAAAGTCACTTCCGAGGCGGCAGCGTCGACCATCGAGCAACGTGCGCCGACGAGATCAGTAAAACAAACCAGGGCTCCCTTTCCGTGCGCACAGCTGCAGCGTATTCACGGCCTTTATTGCGCCCACGCGACGTGCTCAACAGCGCTGCTTCTCGCAATCGAACAACATGCTCACATTCCCACGCGGCGCCGCGCGCGGCGGAGGGGAACTTCTCCCTCCCGAGCGTCGCCGTTCATTGGCAATGTCTATTAGGAGTAGAGACTTTTTCGCGTCCCGGCAGGCGTGCTTCGCGGTGATGGTGCTTCTCATAGCCTCGCTGCTCGCGAGCGGCAGTGTCGCAGTCGCAGGTCAGTCATGCGTCGAGACCCGTCCTTCTACTAGAAGTCAGTCATGCGTCGAGGCCCGTCCTTCTACTAGAATTCAGTCATGCGTCGGAGCCCGTCCTTCTACTAGAAGTCAGTCATGCGTCGGAGCCCGTCATTCTACTAGAAGTCAGTCATGCGCCAGAGCCCGTCCTTCTACTAGAAGTCAGTCATGCGTCGGAGCCCGTCCTTCTACTAGAAGTCAGTCATGCGTCGGAGCCCGTCCTTCTACTAGAAGTCAGTCATGCGTCGGAGCCCGTCCTTCTACTAGAAGTCAGTCATGCGTCGGAGCCCGTCCTTCTACTAGAAGTCAGTCATGCGTCGGAGCCCGTCCTTCTACTAGAAGTCAGTCATGCGTCGGAGCCCGTCCTTCTACTAGAAGTCAGTAATGCGTCGGAGCCCGTCCTTCTACTAGTACCTTCCTTGCCTTCGTTTTTTCGATTGTCCGATCGCAACTCGCGCATGCGAGGTAACAATCTCTAGCCCCTCCCTCTTGCCCCTCCCTCCTTTCCCCTCCCTCCCGCTCCTCCATTTGCTCGATGCAACTTTGAGTCGTTCAAAAGTCCAATCGCTCTTTTGAGACGTCTAAAAAATGCACTTGTATCACGTGGCTGTCCGGCCCCTCCCTCGTTTCCCCTTTCTCCCGCTACCCCATCCTGTCGATACGACATTTGAGTCGTTTAGAAGTCCAAGAGTCGCCCTTCTCACCATGTTTATTTCATGAAGCAGCAACCGCCAAGTCCCTCCCTCTCACTCCCTCCCTTCCGAGGTGACTCTTTTGTCGCCTCACAAAGCGATGGCGTCACACCCGCATCGCTACCAGGGTAGAGTCCAAGTCCCGTCCCTCTCTCCCCTGACCCTTCTTTTTTCCCACTCCCTTCCGTTACTCTCCCTTCCCGCTCCCCCTTGTCCTCGTCTTTCCCCCATCTGCCCCGGTCCCTTTTGACGATATCATTTGAATAGCCCCTCGAAAGCGATCAGCCCCGAGCTATAAATGCATTGAGACGCCTCAAAACTCCCCCTCTCCTCGTCTCTCCTCGTCTCTCCCCCGTCTGCCTTGGGCCCTTTTGACCATGTCATCTGTTGGTGCAACCCTACGGTTTGCACTTGGCTTGTTGTCCGTGTGCGTGCATGCGTGTATGTGCATGGAGTGGCATGGAGGCATGAGATAATATACATTTCATGCTTATAATAGTGTATGTATGATGGGTCATGATGTCGAGTGTGTGTGTGTCGAGTCAATAGCGAGTTTTCGCTAGTCGCGTGTTACGCGGTCATTTATGTCTCGCGTGCGGTTTCTGTTTTGTCGTGTGTCCCGTGCGCAGTTTCTATTTTGTCGTGTGTCGAATGTTCGGCGTGTCGC